TGCGCTGGCTCCAGCGTCCCTTCCCCAGGCCCGCCCCCCACTAACTGAGCTGACCAACCTGGCGGCTTCTGCCTCTGGCTGTAACCCCTCCGGCTTTGTCTCTCCCTTTGCTCCCCAGGGTGGAGGGACTCTCCACCTGGGCACTCACAGGTACCTGTCCCTCAGCAGCCCTGGCACCTGCCACCAGACACCTCTTCCTGGGGGCAGCACCAGGCCCACACACTTGCTCAGGACACTTCGGTGGCTGCCAYGCTTTCTCTGGTCCTGCAGTCCTGCCCTGCACCCGCTCCGGCTCCTGCTCCCCTCAGCCCCGGCTCCTCGGCTCTTCGGCTCTCACGGCACTGCAAAGGCCCCTCTTCCCACTGTGGCTGCGCTTCCCGAGGGCTACTTTCAGTAGTTCAGCCCTGCTGCTCCTGAGGGCCCCTGACTGCCCGGGTTCAAGTCACTTCCTCCCCTTTGAACTCTATTAGCACCCACTTCTAGAAATTCCAGTGTCTCCTAAAGACAGCCCCAGAGGGCAGACCCAGGCTCTAGGACATCCCRCCCCTCTACATGGCCCTCTCCAACCCCAACCCACAGCTGGGGCCCAAGAAATAACTGCACTTCCCAGGCTAACACATTCCTGCATGTGACACRTGTGACAGATATGCAGACAGATATGCTGACAGATATGCAGACTTCTGCGCCCCAGGGGCAGGATAGTGCTGCTTCTCCTCACCAAGCCTGGAGMCTAATACACCTTCCTGTGCTAATCTATGCAGATCATGATGTAASCACTTGCTGTGAGAGATTCTGGCTGCAAGAGCAGAAACATTTACTGAGCGCTCCTTTCATCTGATGGCCCTGCCGCCAGGCAATCCACAGTGGAATTCTCACGATTTTCCTGCGTGGGAAGCGGACTGTCCCCATCTTACAGATAAGGAAACTGAGGTGTGCGGAGGTCGGGCACAGAAGCCACAGCTACAAGGCTGTCCCCTGTCATCCGTGGACTGTCCCCAGCTGACTTCCAGGTGGCTGGAGGAGGGGCTCTGAGGCAGGCAGGCGTATGAGACACCCCCAGGTAGTGCACACACCCCCAGCCRGGGCTTCCTTCTAAGGAATCCTGAGAAAGCAGAAGGGCTCCGCTCAGGAGACCACCACTGAGGGACGAAATCCACCCTCCGGCCTCCCCCAGCCACAGGCTGCCTCCTCCCGCTCCCTCCACTGTTCCCTCCTGCTGCCGCCAGGAGCCCAGCAACGCCCCGCTTCACACACCCACTGACACCAGGCCAGCCAGACACCAGAGCCCACAAATTCCCACGCCACCAGCCGCTCCACGCCCCCTCAGCCCTCACTTCCCACAGACACACTCGCGGGCACACGCGGCTGCACACACGTGCACTTCCTGGGCAGCCTGGAGGGGTGAGCCCAGTCCCTGCTCTCCACCTCGACCTGGTGGAGGCCTGGGTGCTGCTCAAAACACTGCATGAAAACGACACCCTTCCCCTTGGCCACGCTGATCCCCTCCATGTCGCCTCCCTGTGCTCCTTAGCAGCAAAGAAGTCCCCACCAACAGGCAGCCTCCTGGGTCTCCCAGGCCCCACACATGTACGCTTTCCTGTCCGACCCAGAAAGACCAAGCCCAGCTCAAGTCGTTATCAGAAAGGGAAAAAAATAATAATCAAGATAAACAGTTTTCAGCGCTGCCGCGAGAAGGCAACCACATCCTCCAATGTCCTGGGCTCCGCRGTTCCATAAGATCTATCTTCCTCTGACCACACGCTCATTGAGCTCTCCCCCAGCGCCACTTGCCCAGTCCACTGGAGTGTAATGTAGAGCTATTCTGGTGAGAAATTGAACTCAKACAGAGTGTTGGGCCAACAGGTGATTAAACGCTGAGGTCCCCCTCTGGCCTGGGAAGAGGGTCAGAGCAGGGAGTGGCTTCCCCTGACAGGCTGTGCCTTCAGCTGTGGCCCTCTGACCCCATGCTCCCAGCACTGGTCAGCATCCTCTAGCCAGAGATGCCTGATTCCCTGGCACCCCTTGAGCAGAGCAGCCGGGCACCATGATTTATGGGGCAGCTGAGAGAGGAAAGGTTGCCAGGAGCTGAGCACAGCAACTTTGGAGAAACAYGGATAAAGAAACTGGGAATGGGACCCAGAACGAGAGCTGGAAGCCTCAGCTCCAGACGCAGCTTGCCCTCGTGTCCACTCCTGCGTTACTACCCCTGCCTCAGCTGGAGTCTGTCAAAATCAGCATCTGTGCACAATGACAAGGGCCGGTCACCTGACTGGGCTCCCCACTGCCTCAAGCCCCAGTACTCGGAAGAAAGTTCAGGAAGAAAGCTGGACTCTGCTTTTGGAGAACAGAGGCCAACCCCTCCTCTCAGCGTCTTCTGATCCGCCCCGCCTGCAGCCCAGCTCGGCTGTGCAGAGAGAGTCCCAGCACCCCAAGCAGATGGCAAGGGGTGGCTGAAAAGGGCTCCTGGAGCCCAAAACCATAAGGCGGAGCCACCAATCAGAACAAACAGGCGAGGTGTGCAGGGTGAGCTGAGGGGACAYGAGTCCTGGGTATTCACAACAGGGAGGCTAGGCGTCCTCCTTCACGGACTCTGCACTAAAGAGAGCTTTCCAGGCGGAAGCTGAAGTGCCAGCTAACTCCCTCGGGAGGTAGAAAGGCACTGCAGAGTGTKCGGGAGGCCTCCGGCACCCTCAGGCCAACCTGGGAACAACCCAGGAAGCCCTTGCAATGCCAGACCAGTGTCCAAGCGGCAGCCACTGGGACGGGCGAGTCTCACAGCATGGAAAAGTCAGCTCACCCAGCCTGGCCGGCCATGTCCTACACAAGTGGTTCAACCCTGCAGCCTGGTCACAAACCAACAACTCTTCTGYCTTGGGGAGCAAGCTTGGGAAATGGGTTGCTGGCTATGGCAGACATCCACAGGGAATGCTCGAGAACCAGCCTCGGTTCAACAGAAATAGGCTTCCCTGAGCCAGGCCTCCCAGTCCGAAGGTCTGTAATTCAGGTTCTGCAGCCCCTTGTCAGGATCTAGGCTCCTGGTGGCTGAAAGCAAAGCAATTTGCAGCCCGCCTCATCTTCCCCACCTGCGGTGGTCTTTGAGCCAGAAACAGAACCACATCAGGAGAGTTGTCCTTGCAGAATTCACACTACACCTGTGTGCCACTCGTGGAGCACCCTCTAAAGGTGCTCATTGTCCCTTTTCCTTCCCCCATGTGTCTGGGGCATCACCCACTGTCCCCAGTCTCTGCCATTTGGCTTCAACCGCCCTCACAGGATCACCCAGGCCCSGTCCCACTCTGGATGCCCTGACCCACTTTACGTTCTTCAGGCCACAGCCCCCAAATGCTGATGTGACTTCTCCCCACCCCCCACCTCAGAACCCAGAGCCAAGGGGAATTCTCCAGAGAAAACACACTTCCCAATTTTCCCTCCCACACAGGTACCCTAGATCTGTCAGCCGCAGACACCTCCCAGACCTACCCAAACGACGAGAAGTGTCTGCAGCCCAAGCAAAGGGCTTCATCCTGTTTGGGCCACTCCTGCAGGATTCCATAGTTGCTGCGGCCATGCTCAAAACCGTCCTCGGGAGACCTGGGGCCTGGTTTCAGCTCAGTAGCTGACTCACAGTGTCAACAGATCCCACTTTCCCCACCAGCATGTACTCTCAGGGCCTCTAATTCCCCATGACAGGCCTTCAACCTAACGGATCCCTCCCTCCCAAATCACATTCCAGGCCTCCCATTTCCTATGGCCTCGAGCCTCCTGCCCTGGTCTCTTTACCTGAAGAGAATCCCTGACCTTTGTACAGCCTTCTACTGTTTACAGAGGGTTTCCACGGGCACCATCTCCTTTCATTCTCTATGATTACCATCCACCACATAAAGTGGCCCTGAGAGGTAGAGTCACCTGCTCAAGGTCACACAACCAAGATTGGAATTCAAGTTATCTGGCTCCAGATGCACTTCGACAATACTTCACCTTCAGGGAACTCAACAGTCTATCTCCAAACATCCTCCTTAGCATATCAGTGACCACCTGCCACCCTAGTCTCCAATATCCTCAACCTCATCTTTTTGGGCTCCTAAAATGTTTTCCCTGGACCCTCCCAAGCTCACCCCTTTTATTCTCTTGCCCCAGAGGCCACTTCCCCTAAGAAATCCACAAAGACTGGAAGATTTCCCCCACATCCTAAGACTTCTCCAGGGGTCTGGAAACTGCCCCTCTGTGAAGCAGGACACCCTGTGACACTGAGCACAACCCTGACCCAAAGCTTCCCAAAAAGACTGGTGAGGGGAGATGCAATCCTAGCACACTCCCAGTAGCTGCAGAAGCACCTCCCAAGCATCCCATAAATGATCCTCTGGACCCAAAGGTTTCCAAGCATCAAAGAAGAGGAAAAAACTCCCAGATACCCCGGAGTGAACCCACCAACCCCATGAGAAGGAAGAGTCAGGGTACTACAGACAGATGGTGCACCACATAGTCCCCTGACCCACTGACACCTCTCAGCACTTTCACGATTCTCATGACACATTCAGTGACAGGATCTCCACTGAGAACCATCCATCCCTCCTCTCTTCCAGAAGCTGGATGAATACATGCCCCCAGACAACACTATACCTAGGTTAGTCTCTGAGTCACCATCAGGAACCTTGTGGTGGAAGCATCTCCTGGTGTCTCTCTTTCACGTCCATTATAAAGGACACCAAGCTTCTCCAGCTCTCAGTCCACTGTACCCAGCAGGCATTAGAGCTGGGACCTCTCGAACCAAGCAATGCCCCCTCATTATCTCCAGAATGGAAGGGTGGGCATTTACCTTCCCATCCACCCAGAGTCTGAGGGCCACCAATTTCCCCCTCATAGTGCCAGACACTCCTCTGACATTGCACTCAGCCAAGGCCAGTTCTTGAAGGGAGTCATGCCAGGGACTCCTGCCATGCTGAAGACACCGATTCTTCAACCTCCAGTGCCGTCATCCCAGACCATATCAAGTTCAAGGCCAGAACCATCCCAGCACCTAAGCTGTGGCAGCACTTCCTCACGCCCATGCCAGCACCAGCAGTCGACCCACCCTGAACCGTAAGAGGGCTGTGCGCATCACCTACCTGTCCAGAGAGCTGCAACCGCCTCACACCTGGGCGGCTACCACCACGCCAAGGCTGGGGTGAGTCTTCTGACACCCGTGCCCGGAAAACCACACTGCCGGTGCCAGACCCACGTTGCCCACACCCGCGCCATGGGTGTCACCATCCCCACACGGTGCCAGGAGCTCCGCGGACCTCACACCTGCCACTGGCGCGCGTGGCAGCCGCCCGTCGGGCCGGCCACCGCGCGCCCTGGACACTGCCCAGCCCGCCGCGCCGCTTGCACCGCGCCCGCGCCCGGGGCCCAGCCCGCCGCGCCCCAGGCCCCTCTTACCTCCCGCCCGCCGCAGGGCTCGGCCCGCCACCGCCGCGGCCACCGCCACCTCCATCCTGGGCTCCCCAAGGCCCCGATTCACTAACGCCGCTTCCGCAGGGCGCCGGCGCCGGCGCGAAGGCCGCCTCCGCCCCCCGGGGGACGCTGCGTCCTTTACGTAAACCCCACTCCGCCGCCAGCGGTGACCATGGCGACGGCCGTGGTGCGGCAGCGCCCCCTGGCGCCAGGGAGGGGAGCAACGCCGAGGCCCGAGCGATCGGAGCCTTTGGCGGGCGCTGGCCGCGCGTGGGGGCGGTGGGCTGTGGGCTCTGGTCTCCGCCGGGGCTCGAGGGGCAGCCGGGAGGACCAGGCCGGCCGCACTGCAGGTGGAGATGGGAGCTCCCTGGGTCCCCCTCCTTCAGGCCCCGCGTGACCGGGTTTAGCGTGGGAGAGGAAAAAAAAAAGCAAGTAGGATCACTGGAGAACTGGTTCATTGGGAGGGAGGAAAGAGAGATGGGCTCCACCTCCTCGGGGTGACGGAGCAGCTCCTTTAGGAGTCGGAGCACATCACCGCGTGTCCTCCCCTCCACCCCCACACCACCCCTCACAGTGTCCAGCATCGTGCCTGACATCCAAAGAGGCCCTTGGTCAATTCTGAATTTCTGGTAGATGCAGTAAATCGCCCCTCCTGTTCTCCTTCACACACGCCCATTCATTCTGGGCTGTAAGTCGCTTAACACGCCTTCCTGAAAGCTGCTCTTTAGCAGGGGCCCTGCAATGCCCATGCGTAGCGCAGAGCTGAGCGAGTGGGTGGGCACAAACAGAAGCAGAACAGGGGCCCTGCCCTCAAGGAGCTCAGTCTGCTCGGGGAGGCAGACGGATAGGGCTAAGCAGAGCACCGCACGGAGGGCCGACAGAGCCCCTTAGAAAGGACTCTGAAGTGAGACTTGGGGGTGGGTCTGGAAGGTCATGATGATTCAACCAGGTCTCAAAGGTCAAGCAGAAAATCCGTAAGCAGCAAAAAGAGGAGTGCACGCTTCAGGCAGGGGTAGTGCCTCTAACACATTTCCTGAGCCCTATCGTCATCCCAAGGAATCAGGGTGATTGGCTGCGGTTCAGTGTGAGTGGGAGCCACAGGCTGAATATAAAGGGGTGTGTGGAGGTGGAGTCCAGCCTGAAAACTACCTGGACACTTGGCTGAAAGTGAAATTGTGAGCCCAGGACAGTTTCCTGCCGTTGAAGCAGATGCAGCCGCTCCTGGGAGGAGTCTGTGTTATTTATTTATTTTGAAGGCAAACTGTGGCTTAGGTAGAAAAGGAAAATGGGGAGTGGGGACACCTCAAGGAATTCAAGGAGCAGTACAATCCTCCACCACAGTTCAGAAAGGACAGAGATCAGCAGGGCTTTAGGGACTGACTGTAGCAATCACAGTCCAGGGAGCTTTTTACTAGATCATTGCAATTCATCAGAATCAAAAACAGTAGGACTTAATGTCGCCTTATTCAAAGTTCCAAATTTCAGGAAGAAAGAATTATTGGTCCAACGTGGACTGTAATCTATCAGCTATGGCTGGGGCAGAAAGTGTCGTGTAATACAGACCTGTTGGCACATTCTTCCATATTGACAAAAGTCCCCAAAGAAGAAGTCGTGAGTAACCACTCCAAAGATGGTCTCATTCCACCCCTTGGCTGCTCCATGCACAGAAACCCATAGGAGACCATGTTCACGCATGTGCCCACCCCCCATAAATACTCCTCATTCATCCAGACTTCTCCTCACCCAACAAATTCTAATACTCCATGCTCAGCCACTTCCAGAATGATGAGACTACTACTAATTAAGATCTCCCAGTGATGTCTATTCCTCCTCAGGTGCTCAGGTGATCTCATCTGGGAATTCAACAACTGGATTAAAAGGTGCATTTAACAACCACCAGCATATCCTTTGAACTCTTGGAACTCCACATGGTCATTGGCACCACTGGGGAGGTTGTTAGAAATGCAGAATCTCAGGCCCAAGAATCTCAGCCTGTTCACCAGATCCCCGGGTGATTTGTGTGCACATTACAGCTTGAGAAACAAAAAGTTATTATGAATACTGGAGAAAAGGAACAGGAAAGGTAAAAAAGTTTTAAACTGTGATCATTCCAATTCTGAAAAGACAGAGGCTGGAGTTTAGCTCACCCGCACAATGCTTGCTTAGCCAGCCCAAAGCCCTGGATTCCATCCCCAGCATCTGTCCCCTAAGAAAAGACAAAAGAAGTGGTTAATTATTTAGACTCCAGTGACAAACAAGGGCATCCAGGTAGAGGCACATGCTTTATTGTTGTAACTGATGGCAAACTTCTAGAAGGCATTTATGACTTCCTTCCTCTAATTCCTTATTCCTCCGGATTGCCTCCTGCCCCAATCTCATTTGATCAGGGTTCTTTGCCCCCCGTAGACTGACCCAAGTCTTTGTCCTTGAGGGCTGAGCCTTTGGTGATCCCAGCTATAAAGTGTTTCAACAGGCTTCCATTGCATTTACCACCAGTTGCAAGGATGTAGAAGGTACTCCATGAGGACCTTGGGTTCTAGGTTCCACACTTACCCTTAACTATGTGATAGAGATCCCCAAACAGCTGGGCACACTGGCACTCACTACTCAGGATACTGAGACAGGAGGATCACAAGTTCAAGGCCAGCCTGGGCAACTTAATGAGACCTTGACTTAAAGGAAACTAAATAGGGCTGGGGATGTAGCTCGGCGTAGAGCTCCCTGGGTTCTGTCCCCAGTCCTGGGGGCGGGGATCCTCAAGTGGTCAGGTGTTAGTCCCGATTCAGTGGAACCACCACAGTCAAATCCCAGAATTGCCAGCACAGGTAGCAAACCTGTTGATGACGGTGGGGGACACTACCATCACCTCCACCCCTGGTTCTGAGACCCGTTGGAAGAACAGCCTGGTTTTGTAGCTATGAAGCTCCAACGCTGTGGTTTTCTCTTGGAGTCACTTTCAGCCCAGTTCTGACGAAGTTGGGCCAGGGGCCTTTGGAGCTAGTCACCAGGGTCATGGGGAGCCTGGAGCTGGGGAGAAGGACAAGAGTGTGGGCACTGGAAACAATGACAAGCCATAGACTGGTCCTGATCCAGCTGCTGGGCTGCGTTCCCTCTGCTCCGTGCTAAATTCCCACTCTGGCCTCAGTTTCCCTGTGGGTCCCAGTAGGGATAATAACATGGCTCCTCCTCCCAGGGGACTGTGTGGATTAACTAATGAATGAGTGTGACATCGCCTGCTTCCACAAAGGGGCTGATTAAATGCTGAGTGTTGTTATTAGAGGCGATGGAGGGTGTGTGACAGGCAGAGTCGGCTGGAGACGGGAGACAGATAGGCTCCCCTTGCCTCCCCCCACCCCTTCCTTCGCCCGCCAACCCCACCCCCCCCCCCCCCCCCCCCGCCACCATGCTCCACTCCGCAAGTCGAACATCTTGCAAGACAAAACCAAGAGGATTTTGGGCACCCCGAAGACAACATATAACTTTTGCGCAATTTCCCCTCTGCTGGAATGTGAGTCACGGTGGAGCTTCATCACGTAATCCATCTCTGACAGCTGGCACAGCTGTACCCGGCTGCAGACCCTCAGCTCCCAGCAGCTGCAGACTGGGATGGTTGGGGCCACTGACTGCTGAGCCCTGTGGCTAGTGTGAGATCATTGCCCAACCCCGGAGGCTGGGGCTTTCACCCCTGAGTGTGGTAGGGTGCTGGCTCCCATCCTGGGTCCTGGCGCCTCTGCTAGGGGTGGGTGGAAGGAATTGCTCAGTGCTGCCACCAGGTAATAAGTCTCCTCTGACAACAGAGGGGAGTGTTGTTTACCCACGGAGCTCCAGCACCGACTCAGCCTGCCTGGGGAGGGGACAGAAAGCTCTAGAGGCTGAGCTGTCAGACTCCCACAGGGAGAGGAACTAGCCGGTTGCAAGGTCTAGGAAATGTGTGGGAATCAGGTCTGGGACACCTGGAGCCATCATCTGGGCACCCCCTGGTAGATTTTCAGACCCCCTTGCCTCTGCAAACAGCTGCTCTCCCTCCGCTGCCAGGCCTCTCCCCTGACTTCCTGGGCTTGCCTACTGCTATGAAGTGACCGGGCTGGATTACTGGGCAAACAGGTTGGACGTGGGGGCTGAACCACATGGCCTTGCTGGCAGTCCAGGGACTGGAAGGTCAGCCACTGCAGATGTACGCCAAGGTCCTGTCCAAGAGGTAAGCCGTTCATTCCCTTCCACCGGAGGGGAGCCTGCAAGCCCGCATCTTTGACCTGAGTTATCACAGTTTGCCGTCCTCTGAGTCTCAACAGATCTACAGGATGGGAACCGGGTGGAGGGTGATGAGGGACACGCTGGAGAAGGTGATAGTGATGGTGGTTTGGTGACAGTGGTGATGACACAGAGGAGAAAGAGGACCCGTGCTTCCAAGGGGACCTTCTGGGAGGTTTTTCCACTTCTGCCTCATCCACCCCGCTGTCCCCCATCACGTGGGTATCTCCAGCACTTTCCCTGCAATGCCCAGAGGGTTGGGAGATCCTCGCCTCTCATTAAACCAGCCTATTTGTAAGTTCTGCTCCCCGGGGGCATCGTAGTAACTAGTTTTTCTCCTTGGGGCACTGGGGAGCTACCAGAGTGTAAACACAGATGTCTCAGGGGAAAGCGTGTGTGCTTACCAACTAGTGTGATTCATCTGCACTAGCTGGACACCAACCACCAGAGTGGAGTCTGTCCTCTGAAAGAAGTCTACCCATCCACCAGGTCACCCACCCACCCACTCATTCTGCCACCCACCTGCTCCTCTACCCACTTGCCCACCCACCCACCCACCCACCCATGCACCTAATCTGTCCCTTCACCCACCCACCCACTCACCCATCCACTTAATCATCTGTCCTTCCATCAGTCCATCTATCTGTCACCCATCCATCTATTCAACTGCCTCCTAAATCATGTCCTATTGATTCTTCCTCCCACATATCTTTGAGCCACCCGCTGCTGTCCATTCCCACCAGGACCCTCCAAGTCCAGGGTGCCTTCAGGGACACTGCAATGGCTCTTTCTTTTCTTCTATTTTCCACTCGGCAGATAGATCAAGCTTTTATAAGTGAACATCAGATGATGTCAAGCCATGGCTTACGACCCTCTTGCAGTTTCCCCTTGCTGGTARGGTAAGTTCCTTCAGCTGGGGGTATAGCCCAGCACTAGAACATTTTCCCATCCATGGGAGGCCCTGGGTTGGAGCCCCAGCCCCAGAAACAAACACAGACACACATAAGATAGACTCCAATTTTTCTTAGGTACAACATATATGTGGTAAGGCATGCAGCTCGGTGAATTTCTACACACATACATACATGTAACCACGCTGAGATGAAGTTTCAGAACAATTTCCAGGTCTTCATGTCCTTCTACCCCTCAGAAGTGACACTGTTTGAACTTTTGAGCCATGGATTGGTTTTATTTGTTCCTGAACCTCTTGTAAATGAAATCCTGTATTCTGCATCCTTTGTATCTCACTCTCTCTCAACTTCATCTCTGTGAAATCCATCCTGGTTATTGTGGGTAACATTCTTTTTCATGGCAATGCAATATTTTATTGGGTGAAGATACCCTGATTTGCTAGTCTATYCTGCTGTTGACGAATATCAAGTCTTTTTCCAATAAATCTGTGCTATGGTGTGAACGTATGTGTCCTTTCAAAATTCATCTCTTGGAACTTGACCCCCAAGGTGRTGGCGCTTGGAGGTAGAGCCCTTGGGAGGTAGTTCTGCCATGAGGGTTCTTCCTTTGTGGGTGGGATTAGCATCCCTCTAAAAGGGTACAAGGGAACTAGCTAGCTCCCTTTGTCCCTTCCGCCACGTAAGGACACGGCAAGAGGCACTGTGTTTGTTTGCTTTTCATTGCTATAACCAAAATACCTGACAGAACAACGTCAGGAAAGGTTTACGTTGGCTCATGGTTCCAAAGGTCTCAGTTCATGGTAGGCCAACTGCATTGCTCTGGGCCGAAGGTAAGGCAAAGCATCATGGTGGAAGGGTGTGGGGGAGGGAAGCTGCTCAGCTCATGGCAGCCAGGAAGGAGAGAGAAGAGAGAGAGAGAGAGAAGAAGGGGCCAGGAACAAGATACAGACTCCCCCAAGGCACATTCCCAGGGGCCTGATTTCTCCAACCGTGCCCCACCTGCCGACAGTTTCCACCTCCTCCCAGTAGTTCGAATTGTTAATCCATCAAATGGATTAATCCACTGATGAGGTCAGGGCCTTCRTGATCCAATCACTTCACCTAAGCACCACCTCTGGACATGGCTGCACTGGGGACCAAGTCTTCAACACACCCACTTCGAAGGGACCTTGTGGATTTAAACCCCGGCAGGCACCATCTTAAAGACAGAGAGTCTGAACTTCACCAGACACGCCTCTGCTCGCACCTTGATCTTGGGCTTTCCGACAACTGGAATTTTGAGAAATAAAGTTCCATTGTTGATGAGTTTCTCAGCCTAAGACATTTTGCTGTCCTAGCGGAACCGAGCCTGCTGGAGACACGCTGGTACGAGCCTTTCGGTGGACGTGGCATTGGTTTTCCTTTGATAGCAGGGTAGAGAGAATAATGGTCCTTTGTCCACATCTTAATCCCCGGAACCCATGAATGTATTCGGTTACAAGGAAAAGGATGATCAAGGCTGCGGGTGGAGTTCAGGTTGAAAACCAGCTGACCTTGAGATGGCGACATTATCCTGGATTATTTGGATAGGCCCAGTGTCAACCCAAGAATCCTTATGAATGGAAGAGGGGAAGGAGAGGGACAGAACCAGAGACAGCAGCTTGGGAGAGGCCTGACCAGTCAGGGATGGCTTCAGAAATGAGCCACGGAATAGGGGCTAGAAAAGGCAAGGTGACCGGGCTTCTCCCTTATCCTCCAAAAGGAGCACAGCCAGCTGCCACCCCAATTTTAGCCCAGAGAGACCCGCCTCCGGCTTCTGACCTTCAGGACTGTAAGATAATAGGTTTGTTTGAAGTCACCAAAGTCTTGGCAGTTTGTTGCAGCAGTAACAGGAAACTACTGGAATTGCTGGGTCAGAGACCCAGGGAGAGACTCCACTACCCTGCGTGGCTGGCCGCGCCACCCTGTCCGCCTTCTTCTCCTGCCACTCTCTGCCTGCCCTCCCTCCACAGGGCAGCCCCACCAGGCTTCCGGGACAGCCCTCCTCTGCCCCGCCCTCTAGATAACAGTTCAAAGGACACTTCCAGGAGGGAGCAGGGTCAGGCACACTTCTGGCCCTCCGAAAGCACGCCATCCGGTTTCCCTCAGAGCACTTACCAAGGTTGGCCTCCACCACCTCGTCTTGGTGGTTATTCMACTTTGTCCGCTCAGGCCTCACCCCCAGACTAGAAGCTCTCTGTGGCCAGGAACTGGTCAACATCATATCTTCAGCACTTAGTAGGCTATTTAACCTGGCACATAGTAGGTGCACAACCACTAATGGGTGACATGGAATGAACTCTTTGTGTTTGTTAGGGCTGAGGATGTCAGCAAGAGTGAGATGAGGAGGAGGGAGAAAGAAGGAAGGGGGAGAGAGAGAGAGAGAGAGAGAGAGAGAGAGATTTTCATTTTAGCAGCCCCAGGTCAAGAAGGCTTTTGCAAACTGCTGATTTCTTAATGAGAAGACCCTTGTGCCTTTACGGAAAGCTCAGTGTCTTTCCAGGCCTGGCCCCTGAGGCAGGAGGGATATCAACAGTAGGTGCAATGAATCAGGCTTGTAGAGGGGCAGTGCTTTGGCAAGGCCACCAACGTGTTAGAATCTAGCTGGAACCTAAATCCCACACCTTTGTCTCTGGGCTCAGTGTGTGTTGGGGGGGCGGCGGGTAGGGGGTATGCATTGCCAGATTGAACAAATAAAAAAATAAGGCACACAATTAAATTTGAATTTCAGATGAATGATAGCCAATTTTTAAAATATAAATACAACCCAATCACTGTGTGGGCCGTACTCACACGGCGATTTGTTGTCCTTCTGAAGTCCCAGTGTAGCTGGGTCTCCTGTAATTTGTCTGGGGTTGGGCTTTGGAGTGGGGTGGGTTGTCCCCTGCCTCGCTGCCCTTCTGGGGACCCGTCCCCACACTGCCCAGAGCCCAGCTGCTAGCTCCCTGGACAGAGCTGGCTGCCCTCTGACCGGTTTGGCCTCTGTGAAGTGTCTGGCCTTCTGCCGGGTCACGGATTCCCGACTGAATCCATTGGCCTGTCCTGCCCAGGCTGCACCCCAAGGCCAATGAGGGCACATTCTCTGGGGCTGAGACTCCGGCATCTGGAGTTTTTAAAAACTCCGCAAGTGACCCCAGCTCCCGGCTGAGGTGGAGGACCCCTGGGCCAGAGGGACCCGCGTCCCTGCTGCCTGAGCTGCCCCTGCCCTGCTGGAAGAGCTCTGGGCCCTCCAGGCCTCGCCCCGGCCCCCCACCTGCAAGTCCTGCTGCACAGGGCCTCTGCCTTGGCTCTTCTCAGTCCTCTCTGCTTGATTCTGGGRAGCTTTGATTTCTGAGAATGACAGGGTTTTTTGGTCTTTCTTGTGGTGGTCCAGTTGTTACTAGGGATTGAACTAATGGGTGCCATACCACTGAGCTATGTCCCCAGCCCTGTTTATTTTTGTGGCAGGGTCTCACTCAGTTGTTTAGGGCCTCACTAAGTTGCGGAGGCTGGCCTCCAGCCTATGACCCTCCTTCCTTGGACTCCCAAGTTGCTGGAATTATAGGCACATTCCACCCGGCTGGCCAGAAGGCCAGGTGAGGTCTATTTTCAGGCTCGTCAGGAAGACAAGGGTGAGAGTCCCTCGTCTGGGATCTGAAGTCCCTGATGTGCTAATTCCAGGCAGGGACTGGGAGACCTGGAGCTTTTGGAGGGCTTAGGGTTCCAGGTTAGAGCCCAGGGGAGACCAGGGTTGCTCTTCATTCTTACAACCAATCCCCAAATCTGGGCTGAATCTGTTAGCCAAGGGTCCCTGTATCCCTGTAGGCTTCTCCCGCAAAATGCATGGTGCCTTGTAATCATTTCAGTATCCGCCTTTCCCACCAGCCCAGAACTTGGCTGGTAGCTGAAGTAGGACTCAATACTTGTGCAGTCAGTGGATGAGCCTGTAGGAATCATGCATTCCAACCCCCGTGTTGTAGAGATAGGAAAACAAAGGCACAGGGGCTGGGGATCTAGCTCAGTTAATAGAGTGCTTGCCTCATATGCACAAGACCCTGCGTTCAATACACACACACACACACACACACACACACACACACACACACAGGCACAGAGAGGGTTAAGGGACTTGCCTCAGGTTGCACAGCATGGTGGAGGCTAAGTCGGGACTGACACCACTCAGTAGGACTAGGAGTGCCCCGCCCTGTTGGGAGCCTCTCCTCCACTCCTGACAGGCTCCTCAGCCCACCCCTCACTGTCTCTTTTCAAAACATGCCTCCAGGTGACTCTGGCCAGGGGGAGGAGAGGGACCCTGTGGGAGGCACGGGAGCCCCTACAGCTAGAACCCTCCTCTGCCAAATGCACATGGGGTGAAGACCCCGGGTCCCGGTGTGCAGGGGCCAGACCCTGTTCTGGCAGGCGTGGAGGCTGTCTGCTCTTCCTCACCTCCTGGTTCCTCTGAGGAAGGGCCGTGCAGCCCCCAGCTCACAGAGCCTGCCCCTCCCCAGGCCAGTCRTGGGCTGCAGGCTCCACCACTGGGCTCCGAAGTCACGTGGAGCCAGCTCTAAACCTGAACCCCCTTTTTTGGTTGTGGGAACTTCCCTGAGGCTTAGTCTCTTAATCAGGAAAATGGGCCGACCGACACCATCCTTGTTGGCTGGTGGTAAGGAATCGGTGCAGAGTCAGCGCTTCCCTGACCCTTTGACCCAGGTTTGGGGACCCTCTAAGGAACATGAGCATTGTTAGCAGAAACCCAGGACCGAGCCCTTAAGGACGGCCCTTCCTTGGGGCCAGAAGGCAGGCTTTTTGGCAAATGCACGACGGCTTCTTAATGGGACCCACAGTGGCTGAAGCAGTTTTTGAAGATGTCCCTTCCTTTTGAGTTGGCATGAAGAGGAGTACCCCAGAGCTCTGGGGACAAGGTGACAACGGGGTCTCAGAACAGCACATGCTGCGGGGCGTGGGGTGAATCCAGGAACCCTCAGGGCAGATCTCAGGATCCTCTCCCTGAGAACCTTTTCCCCCATATCTGAAAGGGATTAGTTCCAGGACCTCCCAAGGATCCGGGAATCCACGGACATTCAAGCCTCATCAATGGCATAACATTCACGTGTGCCCTACGTGACTCCCATAYCCTAAACCATCTCTAGGGGACCTGCGGTACCCAATATAACATCAATTCTGTAAATATTTGTTATTTTCTGTTGTTCAGAGAAGGATGACATGTTCTGTAAAGACACATTTTTTTCTGGAAAAAAATTTTTTTTTGGTAGCAGGGATTGATCCCGGGGGGCTCTTAACCACTTAGCTACACCCCCGCCCCCAGCCCTTTTTGAATTATTTTGAAACAAGGTCTCGCTAAGTGGCTGAGGCTGACTTTGAAGTGATGATCTTCCTGCCTCAGCCTCCTGAGCTGCTGGGGATTACAGGTGTGTGCCACCGCACCCTGCTTTTTCTAAATATTTTTAATCCACAATTGGTTGACTCTGTGGATGGTGAACCCATGGATACAGGGGCTAATGATAATTTTGGTGGTTTTTAAAAAAATCTTCCTTTCCATATCTGCGAATCTGACGGTTCTGCATATTCCGATCAGCAGAATCCTACAGGACTGGAGCTTTCGGGTCTGGCCCGGTTCATTTAGCACAAGGTCTTCAGTGTTCATCGGGGTTGTAGCATGTGTCAGGACGGCGTGGTTCCCACCATCTTTCAATCCACCGCTGAAAAACCTCGTTTCGTTTTTCCAAGGATACGTGTGTCGTCTGTACCTCTCGGCTAT